GGGCCCAACTTGGAGAGTGGAGGAAGCCAGACTTCTGTCGTGAGTACTGACCCGTGCAGCTCCCCACAAACAGGGTCTCCCCCAACCCTTCCCAGGGGCTCTAAGACAAGGGTCCTGGTGCTTCAGGGGAGCTCAAGGCCCATCCCCACCACCTGCTGTCAGAGATGCACCCTGGCCCTGATACTGAAAAGCACCAATGGGCAGGGAAGGACCTAGCTACACACCCAGAGTCACAAAGGCTGGGCGCAGACCCCTCTGGGAGCTTCATTTTGCTAGTGGACTTGGATAGGACCCAGTGAGAGTTACTCAGTAGGAAACCCTGTCAGAGGCCAAGTGAGACGTGACAGTTACCGAAGCCTCAATGGGGTTGGGACTTCCAGATCAAGGCTGGACTGGCTGCCCACTACAGCTCTACATCAAGTCCCATGCCAAGCCACCGGCTGACTCAGCTCTTCTTACACACAAGCCCTTCCGGTCCCTCCATTGCCTCTGCCTGACTCTCCTTTTTCTACCCCACAGCTTTCCAGTGTCCCGCCAACAGCCACTACCAGCTCTGTGGGGACTCCTGCCCTGTGAGTTGCCCGAGCCTCTTGCCCCCAGAGGGCTGTGAAACCACCTGCCGTGAGGGCTGTGTCTGTGATTCTGGCTTTGTGCTCAGTGGTGACGCCTGTGTGCCCGTGGGCCAGTGTGGCTGCCTCCACAATGGACGCTACTACCTGCTAGGTGCCACATTCTACCCAGGCCCTGAGTGTGAGCGGCTCTGTGAGTGTGGGCCAGGTGGCCAGGTCAGCTGCCAGGACGGTGCAGACTGCGAGCCCTATGAGGAGTGCCGGATAGAGAACGGCATCCAGGCCTGCCATCCCACTGGTTGTGGCCACTGCCTGGCTAATGGGGGCATCCATTATGTCACCCTTGATGGACGGGTGTATGATCTTCATGGCTCCTGCTCCTATGTCTTGGCACAAGTCTGTCACCCGAAACCTGGAGAGGAGGAGTTTTCCATTGTGCTTGAGAAGAACTCAGCCGGTGATCCCCAACGTGTGGTGGTTACAGTGGACGGCCAGAATGTGGTCCTGGCTAAAGGGCCACAGGTGAGTGGACACAAGCCTGCCCAGAGTTCTGGTAGGGACTTGACCCCACCTTGGCCTCACCCTATAGGGTCTCAGTAGACCTTGGAGGGCTCCAGAGTATGGGAACATCACTGCCACACCCTAATAGTTCCGGGTTTGTGGGTAAAGGTCCCATCTCGGAATCTATTGTAGTCACGGCCCCAACCTGGGTGCTTAACAGGGCCTGATTTTAGCTCCTAAGGGGCTTCCAAGAAGGTCTGGGATAGACCACACTCTACGCAGGGACTGTGAGTACCGGCCCTACACTGAGGTGCTCTCCCCCTCATCCTAACTGACCCTTCCACCAGGTGACTGTGGATGGTGAAACTGTGGTCCTGCCTGTGACGAAAGGCCACGTGAGTGTGACTGCTGAAGGCCGAAACATGGTTCTGCAGACAAGCAAGGGGCTGAAGCTTCTCTTTGACGGTGATGCCCACATCCTCATGTCCATCCCTAGTCCCTTCCGTGGACGGATCTGCGGCCTCTGTGGGAACTTCAATGGGAACTGGAGTGATGACTTTGTGCTGCCCGATGGAACAGTAGCCCCCAGTGCAGAGGCCTTTGGAGCTGAATGGCGAGCTCCCAGCTCCTCTCTGGGCTGTGGTGAAGGCTGTGGGCCCCAAGGCTGCCCTGTGTGCTTGGCCGAGGAGACAAAATCATATGAGAAAAATGAAGCCTGTGGGAAGATCCGAGACCCCCAAGGCCCCTTCAAAGACTGCCACCAGGTTCTGAGTCCCTTGGAATACTTCCGCCAATGCGTGTATGACCTGTGTGCCCATAAGGGCAACAAAACATACCTCTGTCGTAGCCTGGCAGCCTACACTGCAGCCTGCCAGGCAGCTGGTGCAACCGTGAAGCCCTGGAGGACAGACAGCTTCTGCCGTGAGTGTCTGTGGGCCCCTCTTGGGACCTCCTGGGCCCTGGAGAAATCCCTGCCCATGACTGGGCCTCCTCTAACCCTGCTCCAGCATCCTCTGTGCCTTCCCCCATTTACTTGTGGCTCTGGGGTCTCAGACTCCAGTCAAGAGTCCACCCTCCCCAGACCCCATCCACCTCTTCCCAGAGCTGTTCCCAGCTCTTTCTGCAGTGACCTGGAAGGGGGCTGATGGATTGAGAGCCCACAGGAGTCCTGAGTTGTGGCTCACTGGCCCCTACCTCAGATCCTGTGTCCTTTCGCATCCTCAGGGCAAGGCTCCAGCTAGCAGACGCCCCAATCCAGGTCCACACACTTCCTTCCAATTTGCAGGGCAGGCACAAGTCCTGTCAGGCTCTGCATGACAAGACCGTGGCCACTGACGTTTGTTTCATGGCAGAGCCGTGTCTCCCTCAGTCCCCTGAGGGCAGGACCTAAACCCAGGGCCATCATCACTCCGTAGTGTAGCACCTGTCCCAGTGATGACAGCAGACACTGTCTCCAGCTCTGGACTTCCTCCTGAGTACTAGGCTGGTGTATCCATGGCCTCCTGGGTAATCTCTGGTGACCCTTGGAGCTGAATGCAGCGTTTCTTCCCAAGCCTGACCCTTCTCTCTTCCAGTGCCCATTAGATGCCAGCCTCGCCATCCTGGGGCTACTTAGAGCCCAAAGTTTTGCCTGTTTTTGTCCTGGTCTCAACCCTCTGCCTGTGATTCCCCATCCCATTCAAGCCTCTACCTGATTTTCTCAATGAGCCATGAGCCAGGACCACTTGAGCCGTAGCTCTTCAGCGCGCTGGGCGCGAGTTCTTTAGCACAGGCTCTTCGGCGCTTGTGTCCTCAACATCGTGTTAGGTTTTTGGACTGTGGCAAATGCTTGAGAGAAACAGTTTTTGAGGCTCTATGGTGATTCGAGGTGTCAGACATTTCTGTTCAAGGTAACTGGATGCACCCCTGAGCCTGACGTAGGACAGGGTTGCGGCAGAGAGAAGCAGATGGAGGTAACAGAGCCAGGCACAGAGACAGAAGTGGGGGGCGGGCAGTGGACATTCTTAAAGGCACAGTCTAGCTGATGGATTTGCCTCCTCTTCCTCCAGCTCTGCAGTGTCCCGACCACAGCCACTACTCTGTGTGCATGAGCTCCTGCCAGGGCTCCTGCGCTGCCCTCTCTGGCCTCACCCAATGCACCACTCGCTGCTTTGAAGGATGTGAGTGTGACAATCACTACCTGCTCTCCCAGGGTGTGTGCATTCCTGCCCACGACTGCGGCTGCACCTACAATGGCCAATATATGCCGGTGAGCAGGGACTCCAAGCAGGAGGTGGGGGCGGAAGAGATGGAGGGACATTCAGAGCTGCTGTGCTCTGGGTTTCTCTTCAGGGATTGGGACACTGGGGGCCACCACCTGTTCCCAGCTGCGTCTGCAGTGCTAAGTCACCCCAGACTCGGCAGGTCGAAGCAAGAGAGCTTAGTTGCCCACAGCTCTGGAGGCCAGGGGTCAAGGACCAGCTCACGGCACTAAAGTCGAAGCACTGGAAAGCTGACACTGTCTAAGAGGTCACGGAGGGAAATCTCTGCCTTGTGTCTCCCACCCTCTGGCAGCCTCGGTCATTCCTTGGCTTGGCCACACCACTCCAATCTCTGCCATCGCTTCTCTGGGTGACCTGACATCTCCCTGTATAGTTCTTTCATGAGTGCTCATGGGATTCCCCACCTAGATGATCAGGATTAATTCCCCATCTAAACAGCATTAATCACACTGCAAACACACGTTTCCGTTTAAGCAGCATGCTTGGTCCCAGGACTTGGGAATTGCTGTCTTTGGTGCGGGGGCATTCCTCCACTACCCTTCCCTCTCTGAACTTCTTCACCTGCAGAGTGGTTGAGTCAGCATCCTGGCTCCATAGACATTTGATGCTCAGGACAGCTGGTACCCAGTGAGCATAGGCCTCATCCTCCCATCATCGCATTCAGCAAACAGAAGTTATAATAGTGCAGTGGGCGGCTCAGCTACCAATCAGTCAACAGTGTGCTCTGGGATTTAAGAGTTAATTAATCCTTGCTGATGCTTTTTGAAAGCTCTTTGTGCGACTAAGTGTGTTTGACATGTTAATTCGTCTTGTAGTCACAGCAGTCCAGCAGAGAGATACGATTGCTGTTCTTCCCATTTTACAGAGAGACTGTTCCTAGTCAACATGTGCCAGCTGCGAAGGGAGCCCAACTTCTTCCTTCCTTCCTTTGGCTCTCACTGTCTCCTGGAAGCCATCAGGGATCCTCTGGCTTAGGTCTGCAGCCTCCTGGGGCTCCCACATCCAGCTGTGCTCCCCATCCCAGTGCTGGCCCCCTTCACCTACCTTCTAGCCTATTCCTGAACGACTACCTGCGCCTCCTAAACTCACATTTAAAAATAAGGAAATGTATTTATATGACGATTATCCAAACCAGGAAAGCAATGTTGACTCAATGCAATTATCTAATCTGTAGATTTTAACCATATTTCACCAGTTGTTCCAGTAAAGTCTTCTACAGCAATTACTTCTCTTTGGGCCAGGGGCCAAGTGAGGGTCCGACTCTGCATTGCTTTCATAGAATCTGATGAAATCAGCAGATGTAGAAGGTAGCTAGAAGACAAAACTATCTGCAGAGCCTAGGACCCAAGAACAGGGGTCTGGGAGAGCTGAAGGAGCCAGACACAGGCATGGAGGAGGAGCAACTAGTGAGGGAGGAGACACGGAGAAGGTTCATGTGTTGTTGAGGTGAGGCCTCCAGAGACCAGCACATAGACAAAGCTGAAAACAAGTCGTTCTTGTCAGCCGGCATCTGCATGGGGAACTTGTCCAAATCTCTTGGCCTCACATCTTACAGCCCTTTGTCTTCTATCTACTAAAATCACATGCTGGTTGTCACACTTCAGTTAGTAAGAAGCAGAACTAAAGACACCAAAAAGCAAGGTTTAGGGACTTTTCTGGAACTAGGGACCAGGTCTCTCCCATGGATTAGGTCTTCTTTCCATGGTGGCAGGCGTTGGGGCCTACGTTTTAAGGTCAGAATGGTGTCTCTAACATGGTGGCAGTTGTGTTCAAGTCAGGGGCCTGTGACACACAGAACTGCATTCCCAGGGCAGTGTCCTCTCTGCTCTCGCACCAGCACACTGTGGGGACGCACTGCCTACTCTACATATAAAGTCAGCCCGTGCAGTGTTACCAGTCGCTTCTAATGGGTGGTTTAGGCCAGTTTTAGTTGTTTTTAGAACCATGTGTTTCCAGTATGGGCCAAGGATTCTATCCCCTCACTTTGCTTTTGTGTATTATATTCACCATGAAGTTTGTTTGGTTTCTGGACTAATGCATTTGCTTTGTTGCTGTAAGAAAACAGCTAATGCAAGCTACTTTGTGGAGAAAATGGGGTTATGAAGCTCGAAGTTTTGGAGGCTAATAGTCTAAAAAGCACTCATGATGCAGGCTTTCATGAAGCCCCCTCTGCATGATGCCATGGCGGGAGCATGTGTATGCCTCTGTCAGTGTGTGGTCCCTCTCTCCTTTAAAAGCCACCATGTTTCAATCATGGGCATTCTACCTTGGTGACTTTATTAATCTAATCACCCCCAAAGTCCTCACTTCTAAACATGAAGTTTCTAACCTCTTTATACGTAACACTTTGTGGAGTAAACTCTTGGCATGAGTTCAGGTAGACAAGCCATATTCAAACCATAGCAAATACCCTGAGCCAGTATCAGGATCTCCATGTGGTCTTTCATTCTCCAGTTGGCTTAACTCAGGCTTGTTCTCACAGTACCCAGGCACAATCTGAAGGGGGAGACAGAGTGGTCATGGTGTGGACTGCTTGGCCTCTGAGGACCATTGACACTCTACCACACGCACCATGTCTTACTGGGAGCTTCGACGGGTTCCCCATGCAAATACACATAATCCACCCTTTCTGTGCACAGGTGAACACCTCACTGATGACCTCAGACTGCAGTGAGCTTTGTTGCTGTTCCTCAAGAACCGGCCTGACATGCCATGCAGCTGGCTGCCCATCTGGCCAAGTCTGTGAGCTCCAAGGAGGAGTCCGGAAATGCCAGCCTGCCCGTGGCCTCTGCTCCATCTCTGTGGGGGCCAACCTCACCACCTTCGATGGGGCTCACAATGCCATCAGCTCCCCTGGTGTCTATGAGCTTTCTTCTCGATGCCCGGGACTCCAGAAGACTGTGCCCTGGTACCGAGTGGTTGCTGATGTCCAGCCTTGCCATGGCAATGACAATGTTGTGGACAAGGTCCACATCTTCTTCGAGGATGGAATTGTGACTGTGACCCAAAGCAAGGGCGTGTGGGTAAGCCTGGGCACAGAAGGTAGGGATGTCTTCCCTGGGCTTTCCTTCTTCCTGTCACAGTGGCCAACATCCTGGCTACCCAGTGGCCTTGCGGTCTGTCTCCTTCATCCAGGTCTCTACTCTTCTTTCTGGATTTGTACCTGTCTCTATAGGTCAGCCTGGGTCCCTCTCCTTGGCCTGAGTTCTTACATTCGAGTAACAGCACAGCTTTGCTGTTGGTCTTAATCAAGCCTCCACTGGTTACCAGTGACAGGAAACCAAATGTCTCAGGGGAAACAAATGGACTGGCTCCATATCTGGGAAACCCAGAGACAGCCCCAGACACCCCAGCGATACTGTCAGGAGTTACACCTGAGGTTTCAGACTTGTTTACCACTTAATCACCTTCATTCTCAGAGCTTTCCTCTTACGGGGGCAAAGGTGATCAGCATCTGCCCTAGGCCTATAGTGTGCCGTCTTTGCCACCCAGCACAAAGTCATCCAACAAAGGTCCCAGTGGTGCATCTCACTAGGCAGGTCTGGACCACATGTCCCCTCCTGGAATGTATCGCTGTGGTCTTAAGCATAGAATGCTATGATTGGCCAGGCTGGAGTCACATGGAGCCATTCTCAGGGAGGCACTGTGATTCCCTCAGAGGGTTCAGTGTAGAGCTGTGCTAATAACTAAGAACGATTCCAGTAAAGGACAGGAGGCAAAACCAGCCAGCGGGAAGGAGCCGTCCAGTGCAATCGTAGGGACACAGGCACTCACTCCCAGGAGTCCCCTGCTGGAATCACAGAGTCCACACATCCTCCAGCAATAGTCACAACAAAGCCTGGGAAGTGTGCTCAGGGAGGTTCGTATGAGCACGCTTCACGTTTCCAGTGAGGCTGGTTACATCGGCACTGTCTGCCTAGCATGGGCAAAAATGGCTGCCACTGCTGTCCTCCTGGGAGTGCGAGCACAGCCTACCGGGACCCACGCCAGTCCAGATCACCACTTCTTGCCAGTACCTAGATAGCCTGATAGCCCGGAGGTGCCAGGAAATCTCAGCTTTTGTGAATAAACTCAGCCCTTCTCAAAGCCCTGGGCTGGGTCCCTGACACGACTGAACCAATTCTTACCGCAAAGCTTGTAGCCAGTAAGACTTCCCATCCACGGAGTGAGTCTCTGTGTGTCCTTTTCCGTATCCACCCTTCTCCCCTCCTTGCTTCCAGCATCTATAGCCACTCATAGCCATCGAGGAGACAGGCAGAAGTTGGAAAACGATCACAAGGCTGCCGAGTCTGCAGCCCTGAAAAGAAGCTGACAGTGTCCCACGGTTGTTACACTGCTGGGACCATTGTCTTCATTCAGACACAGGCCCTCCAAGAAGAGATGACACAATTGCTTCTGCTGCAGATCCAGTTACTTACAGGCGACCTGGGGGTCTTCCACTTTAAAAACTAGGACTTCGTAGTCTAAGTCTGGAATTCCTGCTTGGTTAATCTGTCTGGTAAAAAATGTTTTGCACCAGACCTTGGAAAGTTGTGGAGAAATTTTGATCCATGCCTCCACACCTCCTCTTTCTATCCTTATCAATGTATACAGAAAGATACTCTCCACAGATTAATAAGTTACTATGGGGCCAGGGACATGGTTGAGTGGGGAAGTGAACCTCCAAGCCTATGGGACCTGAATTTGGTCCCTGGAGCTACATGGAAGCAGAGAACCAACTCCCAAGGTGCCAGCTGACCTCCACATCTGTGTCAGGGCATGAGCATGCACAGTGAGCCGTATGTGGACACCCATCTCCAGCTGTCTTCCCACCTGTCCATCTCTCCATGTAACCCTCCTCTCCAGGACCCATCCCTTCCAGCACCTGTCCCTGCCGCTTCGCTTTGTTATTGTGCATGAGGACTCAGCTATTGTCACCCAAGTCTCACGGTTCCATTTCCCCTCCCCCTACACCAGGTGAATGGTCTCCGAGTGGATCTCCCAGCTAACGTGTTAACCTCTGTGTCTGTGAGTAAGATGCCCGATGGCTCCATGCTCGTCCATCAGAAGGCAGGGGTCCAGGTCCGGCTTGGAATCAATGGGCAGCTGGATGTGATGGTTGGAGATGACCATGCAGCCCTGCTGTGTGGGGCCTGTGGAAACTTTGATGGGGACCAGAAAAATGATGTGCTTGGCTCCCAGGAGAAGTGGAAAGCACAGGACTTCTCCTCATGGTGAGGATGGAGAATGGAAACCAGACTGGGGAAGAGGTGGTGTGGGTGGGTGCTCGGTCTGCAGCGTGAAGTGCTAAATGTCCATCTCTTGCAGTTCCAACTGATCAGTCATCACTGGCAACGGACACTTCAAGACCTGCCTCTTCCAGAAGTTCCAGTGACTGAAGGATGTCCTGTGTGTCCCCTCCCTGTCCCTGCCCTTTGCTGAGCCACTAAGGCCAAATCTGGAAGCATTGAGTAAATATCTAGACCCAAGTTGCATGTCAGTGTGTCTGCCTCCTGCTGTCTCCAACTTCCTCCCCACTGTGGGAGACATGGATGATGATGAGTCTTAGGAGAGGACGGGTAGCTGCAGTGTGGGTGCCCGGGCAGACGAAGAAGCAGATGGCCAGAGTGGGGGAAAGCATTGGAGAGTCACAGAGACAGATGATTAGAGGAGTGGATGGATGAGATGATGGATGACTGGATGGGGGAGACCTGGAAGGTGGAGAGAAAGACAGATCTTGGCTTTACCATTGACAAGTCTGGTGAGTTGCCTGGTTCCTCTCTGACTCAGTTTCATCACCTTTAAATAGAACAAAGGCTGGTATTTTCTCACAGAGTTGGTAAAAGTGAACTGAGAAGCTGATGGAGACCATGGAAAGCTAGGTAGAGAACACACATGCTAAGCAGGCAGAAGGGCACGTCAAACACCACTGCTTTAAGATGACAGAAAATGCACCTCTGGTTTTAGTAACATGGAGGTCTTTTGTGACTTTTGGTCAACTGGTGGAAGGGAAAGCTTTGTTGGATTGAGTCCAGGAAGCAGAGATGGAATAAAGACAGTAAGTACAAGGATTTCTTTCGAGGAGCATTATTACAACCTAGCTGGAGTGGTCCTGGGTTTTATCCTCTACGTTCAGCTTCTAGAGGTAGGCACAGAGTAGCTGGAGAGCTGGAGTCAGTTTACAGTTTGAGGATGTGGGTGAAGGTGTGTGATGATGGTGGGTAGGGATGTGGATGGATGCTGAGGGCAGTATCGTCATAAGGAGGTGCTGGACCAGGAGTTTATAGACAGCTTAATGGAGATTGGGACTGAACGATGCTTGGAGTATTCATACTAAAGAGGATAAGGTGGAGATATGGAAGCCCGTGGGCAGAGCTGAGGCTCTGGAGGGACTGTAGTTCAGGAGCTAATGCTATCTAGAAATGAGTAACTCCTTTCCAGTGGCCTAGGACCTCCAGGGCTATCACCAACGCCCCTGAATTCCCATCACAAAGCATAGTGTGACCATGGGATTGACAGCTTGGTTTGAGGACATGGTCACTGGACAAGCAGAAAGCAAGGTACTGAGAAGCCACAGTGTTCATGGGATCTGCTTGATTTTGGAGAAGAATCGTGATGGGAGGAGCATGTTGGGAGAGCTTGGGAGTTAGTGGTGCTAATCACAAGGATGGGAATACATCTTTCAGTATGACTGTGGACTTCAGTATTAGAGGTGAAGGACGAGGGAGAAAGGATGCCAAGATGGCGTTAAAGAGCAAGGGCTGGGAGTCTTATCCCTTCTACCTGGGCAGTGCACGTGAGGGTGGAGTAGAAGCAAATTGTCTCTTCACAGGGCAGCAATGCCTGGGTAGAGCAGCAGAGTGAAGAGAAGCTGCAGACCCTGTACTCTTTGGATATGAAGTGTCCCTCAAACTGTTGCATGTTTGTGGCTGAGCCTGGAACACATGTTCAGAGGTGGCCTTTGGGCAGCTGATTCTGTTACTGCACTAGAGAGTTCCTCATTTCTTTTCTTCTCAAAGGAAAGAATTCAGCTGAGAAACATTAACACTTTAAGCTGAACTGTATTTGGCAAAGCAAAGTGAGGATACACATCAGAGTGCCTACAGTGGGCTGTCTTGAGATGGGGATACCAGCAAGAGATGGCAGATTTGTTATGGTTGTAAGAGGTTTATATGGATAGGAGATAAGTGATATGAGATATGAGTGTATATATGATATATTTTCATGAGAATAAGAGGATGCTTTTCTCTCCCAAATCATGGTGCACCCATTCATCCTTTAAAGGTATTTCTTCCCATGATTCCTTGAAAAGCTCCGGGGAGGCAGGAGGACAAAGTTGTAATGCAAATTATATTATAATGAAGCCAGGGTCTTTTAACCATGCAAACCCTCCACTAAAGTCCAAATGTGGCAATTGGGAAATTCCTCAAAGTCTCTGTTTTTGATATAGTGGGAAGAACCCAACTGTAGCATCAAGGATGTTCAGTCACCAAGGGACATTTTTGGCGATCAAAAGCCACAGCCTCCAAGATACAGCTGCTGTTTCTTCTACCATGACCAACAATGATACGCGATCCTAACTAGTCATATCAATTAGTCTTATCTGTCTACCTGGTCTCATCCTCTCCCTCAATCAATGTGGACCCTTGTACTTTTATAAGAGGGTAAAGTAGAGGTCTCTTACTTCAGTAACTTCCTAAGACATAGACCCTGCCTATGAGTCCAGTGTCACTGCTGTCTCTGTTGGTAACCAAGGCAGTTACATAAACTGTTGACATAAATAGCTGCATATTTTGTTGGCTGGAAAGTCCCACAGAAATTTTGTCCTGTTTGATCTAGTGTAGAGTATGATGCTTCAAGATCTGATCCAGGAGAGATGGATCAATATCTTCATCATATGACCATCTGAAGCCAAATTTATTGAATTCTGAAAGAACCAAACCAGGGCAGCCATTAAAGGAAGCAGGGACCAAAATTGCAGATTGAACATACATTTTACCAGAGGAACAGAGAGGCCAGCCATGGTCACATCCATCCACGAAATGACTGGGAAATTCTAGCAGTAAGTAAAAGGGACCCCGGGGACAGGAACATCCAGGAGGGAAGAGAACAGGAATCAAAAGCCTGTCGTGCCATGAGGAGGATCTGGATGTTTAGTTTTTGTTTTGTTTTGCTTTGTTTTTCTGGAAGCCCCCATGAAGCAAAGGGAACCAGGATGGGAGATGGATTGAGCTATGACCATTGAGTATGTGCTAGCTACTCAGTTACGCCCCGAGGGTCCCAGGGCTAAAAGTTAGTGGATATATTTTCAAGATTGGAATAAGGTGGAGACTGTAGATTGAGACAGACCTAGCTGTGGTGACATTGCCCTAAGAGAGTATCCCCAACAGAGGAGATCCTAAACAGCGGATTTCCATTCACTCAGAGACAAATTAGTTTTGTTTTAACAAATTAGTTTTTAATAGAAAAAATACAGTATCTTAAAAGAATTTTCAAAGCAGTCAAGAAAGGATTAATTTAGTGAGGCACAGGTACAAGTGAGCATAAGCATTATCAGACACATCCCATGAGGAAAACTCCAAACTCAGGAGTTAGGATGGTGAGTCCATAGGTTGTTCATTTGATGTTGGCCCTTGAGGTTTCTTTTAAAGAAGATATGTAAGTTCTCATTTGGTTGTCTGCTCTGAATAGGACTCACCATGAGTGTTCACCATGAACACTTTCTGAAAAATGGGGTTTTCTGAAGGACAAGTGAACCAAAGTAGTAATGCCCTTGATGCTTGGCAGCCATTGGAGGACTTAGGTGGGCTGGAACTGACCATCAGAAGTGCTATCCTCCGAGGGCCTTAGGAGCACTCGGCTCAACCAGGCCAAGGTCAGAAGCCTAGTTGGGCACTTGTAGAACCTTTACTATTATCAGTTAACTTTACTTTCTATTACATTGGGGGGAGGGGGAAGGAGGGAGAGAGAGAGAGAGAGAGAGAGAGAGAGAGAGAGAGAGAGAGAGAGAGAGAGAGCCAGAGAGCACACATGGAGGTCAGAAGACAACTTGTGGGAGTTGATTTCTCTCTTTTTTTATTTAAAATTTTTCATTAATTTTACACACCAATCAAAGATCCCCCTCTTCCATCCTCCTGCCCCCCAACCTCCTCCCCAACCCACCCCCTTTTGCCCCGAGAATCCCACGGATTAACCTCATTAAACTCAGGTCGGCAGAGTCGATGGGAAGTCCGATCCTGCTAAGCCTTCTCACTGCCAAGCCTGACCACTCTCCTGAGTTACACTTCCTGCTGGGCGTTTGAGACCATGCAGGTCTCATGTCAGCAGCTGGCTGACCTCAATCTTCCCTTCTTTTACTGTTAAGATAATCCTGACTCAGTAGGGTTACTCTCAAGGGGTTTGAAGGTGGCCCTCTGTCTCTTTGCAGAGGTTATCAGGATCTCACTGACCATGTGGTTTCTCTGGGACACAGAGGGGACATTTCTTCCCTGGGTGACTCTCCTCTTTACAGGATGTGTACCATTGGCATCTAACCTCTGGTGACCCCACGCCTCTCTGATCAACAGGACAGGTGGCATATCAGAGTTCTAGGGCCACTTTAGAGATGCCATGTCATCTCCGAGGTCCTGGATGACCTTGCAGGGCAAGGACCAAAATACTGGATATCTTCTTAGTCCCTTTATCCTCTTCAGCTTGGACCACCATCCTTTGGTTGAACACCCCGCCCCCGCCCCCCAGGAAACTTGCATCCATCCCAAAGAGGAAGTGGTGGGCCCTCATTCCAACTTCTCTGTAACATTCAAAATAAACATGTAAATAGGCCCTGATTTTATTAAAGACTCGGGTTCCTACACAGTTAAAAAGCCTGATAAACAATAGAAAACACAGTAATTATCTTGATAAGCATGAAACGTTTCTTCTTTAAGCCGGTTCTTATAAATGTTACCAAGAACAGATCAGTATCTTAAGAAAACCTCCTTGTTCTAAATAAAGAGCCGGGTTTCCATTTTATATCAGTATGCTGAGTTTTGACTTTATGAACTTTAAACCCTTTTTTGTTTTTGTTTTGTTTTTTGAGACAGGGTTTCTCTGTGTAGCCCTGGCTGTCCCTGGAACTCACTCTGTAGACCAGGCTGGCCTCTGCCTCTCTGGTGTGGGATTAAAAGCATGCACCACCACTGCCCTGCAGGGAATTTGAATTCTTTAAATGTGTGTGTGTGTTACATATAATCCT